CCCCAAAACCCCAAAACCCCAAAACCCCATGAAGCATAAAAGTATATCTATTCAATTTCAAAAAATTTATATCAAAATCAAAGTAAACTAAGTATCTCGTTTTTAAATTTGAACTACTTTTTGAGTTGATTAAAAAATATATTGAAGCTTTCATTCATCTTTGGCGGCCCGCAGACCCATATTTTATTAACCTTACCCTCTGCTTATTCAACAGCCTTTTAAAGATAATCTTTTTCCCACTCCTTATTGTTTTAATCTCTCATTTTAACTTAAAAATTGCTCATCACTTTTATCTAATTAACTCTTTTTAATCCCTCTATAAGTTCTTAACCAATATAGTCATTCTTTTCTCTAAACGAGCAATGCAGGTGAATCTTAAAATCACCATCTATCAATGAAGACTACTCTGGGATCAATCCCAGATTGTACCACAAAATATAGCTCAATAAATCTAAAAATGGTATGATGCCAGTTCCACCTGCAAATATTAGGTAGTTTCCTGTAAGCTTAGTCTAATTGCTTGGATAAATGCCTAATCCTAAGCCATATAAGCCATTAATATTAAACTCGTCATTTTTACTAGCATTGTGTAAATCAGATGATAGACCTTAGCTATAGTTTTTGACTGTTAAATATATATCACTAGTCAAGTAACTCTTCTCCACAGCTATAATATCCTTTGAGTTGTCCAAGGCTTGCTTGATTAGTCTCAGATTTTGCTAATAAATATCTGGGTTTAAGGAATGAGCAAAGCTGTACTGTCTTTAATGATTTGGATTCTCAGAACTTGAGAGAAGGTAATGCAAGCCGAACGTATTTATATCCAATATACTATATAAAGTCTGCTTAGAAGTTTTCTTAGATTATAACCTGATTAAAGATGTAGTTGTATTCAAACTTTTCCTTTCAACTATTCGATACTTGCCTTAGATCTTACCTTATTTGTCCAGTTTAGCTACTGCAAGTTTATTTATTGCAAAACTAAGAGCTGCATTTGAATGAATATGTCCACTCTTATCAGGAATATAATTTTCATATGTGTATCCACCATAGAAAAACTTACTAATGTCCTGACCAATATTATGGTGCAACAAGAATAGTCCTCCAGGATGATCTAATTTGTAATTAGACACATCCAAGACTAAATCATCAAGTAAAACATATTGCTAGCCAGAGAGTATACCTTTACTAAACTGTTCCTATGAGATTTTCTTTTTAATATGATCTGAAGTAGGCTTTGATGAATTAATCTTTTAAATATAGAACTCAAAACCATATAGGATCAAAACTTCAACAACAACAAGCAAGAAATAGCCCTGATAGATCCGAAGTTGCTCAATGCCTGAGTAATACTTGTAGACACCAGTAAGTATTGCACCCTGACTGATGACTATAATAGTCCATCCTAGTGTGGCATGTCTCTATCTCATTGGAATAATTTCTCTATGATTTCTTTACATTGCAAACATTCTATCCCTAGCTAACTTGCCTGTTAACCCTACAGCTATCAGCAGAAGAGGGACTACAGCACCTATGAGATGATGTCTGTCTTGATAATTCATATTGAATTTCAATTTCTAGCTAGCGAAAAATGTGTAAAAGAAAGTGAAGCCTCCCATTAGAGTGCCAGTAAAGACATGAATCATGTAGTTATTGTGATTAAAGTATTTCATATATCGATTTGTAAAGATCATTATGAAGGCAAACACGTTCCAACTGAGAGTCAGACAATACCCATGCCATCTAAAGAAGAATGCCTATAAATCATAAGTATAAATCAAAATACTTGATCAGTTTCTACTATGTCTTATCTTCCCTCAATAGCTAGTAGATCTGTAGTCAACTCAACAGTCTTAAACAAAATCTTAAACAATCCTCTCTGCTGCATTGAATGCGATGCAATGTGGTCTACATTCTAAACAAACGCCCACATCAAATCAACTTCTCTGTTCTATTGAATTTATAATAAACTCAAACTTTACCTTGAAAATGTGAAAGTCCTTTTTATCCCCAGTCTCTAATGACCTGCAGATTTTGACTGAGGCGTAAGTTGAATTTGCAGTATAGGATAATATTTTCACATCCTACTGTTCATCTAAAATTGGAACTTCATAGTCTTCAGACCACATATCGAAGATCTCGAAGGTTCCATTCTAATGAGCAATCATCACAATCATATCGCTGCCAAACATTGATGTACCGAATCCGATTCCCAAATAAGATTTTAATGGTATTTCCAAATCAAATACAAAGTGAGTGGCATTGTGTAGATAGGCATCGAAAGTCCAGGGCTACATGTCTATTTGATAATGATTAGCTGACACTGGACTAGATATTAAAGCATTCGTCATTATCAAAGCTAAAATGCATACGTAATATTGTCTCGATATATCTTGCATTTTAAAAATAATTAAAATTTTGTAAATTACATAACTTTTAAACGTAATTAATTATTTGTCTTAAGGGGTTTTGGGGTTTTGGGG